CGGAGTCTCCCCAGAAATTCAAAATGATTTTATCAGCTGTCTTGATTCAATTATTGAAGATGAAATCAGAAAGGAAATAAATGATTGCACATTTATGAGTATTCAGGTTGATGAAGCATCTGATGTCTCCACCAAAGAGCAGCTAAGTGTTATTGCTCGGTTTGACAAAGCAAGTGAAATTATGGAGAGGCAATTAGGATTTGTGGATGTAAGTATGAACAGAAATGCCACAGCAATATCACAAGTTGTCAAAGATAAACTTGGTGAGTATTCTAATATAAAAGAAAAACTGGTTTTACAAACATATGATGGTGCTTCTGTCATGTCTGGCCATATCAATGGTGTTCAAGCATTGGTTCGACAAGAGTATCCTTTTGCTCATTTTGTTCATTGTGCAGCTCATAGATTGAACCTGGTCCTATGCCAGTCAGCCTCATCAATTTCTCCTGTTAAAATCTTTTTATTAATATAGCTACATTCAGCACATTTACAAGCAATGCCCCAAAAGAAAAGCTTTTCTCACATCTAACAACCTTGAGTTTCCTGCCCTGGTGAAACAAGATGGTATTATCGCTCTAGATTAATCAATGTATTGCACAAAACTATGAAAAACTTTTAGATATTTTTGAGGGGTACTTGAACAACCAGCTGGGTGGGATGATGAGTCATTAAGTAAAATAAGTGGCTTACTGCATTATCTTGATAGCTTTCTCTTTGTTTTCTAGTGTGTGTTTTTACAGGATTTTAGAACAGTCCACAATTTTGTATTCCATTCTTCAAAATAGGAAACCCATTTTAACTATGGCATAAGCAAGATTGACAATTTCAAGCAGTTTATTGTGTCACTTCGCACAGATCAAGCTTTCACCGAGTTTTACCAAACTGCACTAGAAAAAGTAGGCCCACCAGCAACCAGAGCAGATAGTAGATACAATTACAAACAGCTTTATTTTGAGATCATTGATTCCATTAAAGGCATGTTAAGTGAACGATTTCAAGATATTAATCAGTTCGAGTTTTTAGACCTTGTAAATCCTAAACTATTTACTACATGGAAGGGCATAGTTCCACAGGAGAAGATCAATCTTCTTAAAGATAAGTATAGTCCTCTTTTTGACATCCAAACTTTGGAGAGTCAACTTTCCTTCATTTACAACGACAAGGACTTTCACAAAGAGTGCAGTAATGAGGTTCTTAAATACATCTTCAAATTTAATCTCCAGTCGAGTTTAGGTCAAGTGGTAAATTTGTTAAAATTGAATGGTGTGTTGGCAGTGGCAAGTGCTTCAGTAGAGAGGTCGTTTTCTTGCTTAAAAGGGTAAAAGCTATTTAAGAAATAGAATGGGTCAAGGTCGGCTTAGCTCTTTGTGTAGAATATCTATTCACAAAGATATCATTGAAAAGAAAGAGGAATCAGAGGTGTTGCATAACGAGGTGGTTGAAAATTTGTAGAAAACCCAGGAGGCTGGCCTTTCTTTATAAATGATGAGTATAGTATGTTTTGATATTTGTTCGTATAATACATGGTACTTCATTGAGAAAATTAAGCATAACTTAAAGAATAAAGCCATCCCTGTCTACTTGCCCCAATCTAAACAAGTTTAAACTAACAAGTAGAATGCTAAGAAAAATCTCTCTATGCACTTTAGAAGTGTCGTATACTATATTATTTTTTGTGCTAATACAAATTTCTTCTGTTTATGCAGGGGCAGTGATGAGTAAATTATGTTTTAGGGGACAATTGTCTCCTGCGTAACGTTTCTCTGAGCCACCTTTAGTACCTTTTTAACTAGTTGCAGTTTCAACGATTGCCACGTTAAGAATGCAGCTAACAAAAATGGGTTTTTATAAATTATTGTACAACAAATAATTCGCCCTCGGAATCGCAGGAAATGCTGTTTCCAAGGCTCTGGATTTCAAAATTTTTCGGGGGAGCATGCCCCCGGACCCCCCTAGTGGGGTCGCGCCTCCGGCGCGAGATGGATTCGCGGGAGTGACTATTTTTCCTAGCTACGCCACTGCAGCCCTTTGTTTTTAATTGTACAGCCCTGTGTTTTTAATTGAGATCGTACAGCCCTTTGTTTTTAATTGACATCGTTCACATCGTACAGCCCTTTGTTTTTAATTGAGATCGTTCCATTATTGCATTTTAAAGAGTTATAAGGACATGGCCAATGTCTATGGTGTCAAAACAGAAGGTTTTCATCAAGAATAAAAGCATAAAGAAACTAACTTGTTTTTCCAAAACATTGCTGCGATTTTTCTTCAGAACAGAATAGAGATCACACAGAAGACCCCTCTGGTCGGAACCTTTGAAGTTTCTATCCCCAAAACTTTATGACTTTCGGTTCTGACACCATGTTGAAAGAAAGCCTCTTGGTTTCGGGATGGAGAAACTGCTATGGCAATCATTAACATTCGTCGGATTTTTGCGTTTTTGTGAAATCATAAGGAAGTTGTCGCAATTGGCGTGTGGAACAGAAACGTTGTGGAGCTTATTCAGTATATCCATTCCAACGAATAAATTCTTTGTTCACGTTGAAAAAGTGCCAAAAAATATCTTCTCTGTCTCTTTATGTAAGCAAGAAAACTTTCACTCGATGTTTGTAGTCCACCAAATTCCCCTATCGTGTGATTATATACTTTGAAATAGAAAACCACCTTCTTTATTCATCTAAAACGTTGGTCTGTAGAGCTGTGGACAATACAGAACTTAAATGCATCTCAAGGCAATTTTACTGCAGGTAGCAAGCAGCACATGCTATTGCATTGTCGTGTATCAAACTTTTTCCTAGCAAGCTGTCTTTGTTGTATGATGTTTCACCATTAAAAATTATTGCTTTATAGGTCGCAATGACCACCCAGTGGGCACCCAACGTCCGCTCGACGTTTAAATCTCGAATATTGTCTTCGCAACGAGATAATCGACGTTATTTCTACGTTGTTTCGTCGTCGAAGGTATGACATTAAATCTATATCAAAACTCCGACGTTATTTTGATGTTGTTTCGACGTTGAAATTGGAAGTAATGACATTACAAACCTTCAACAGGGTGAAATTTAAATACCCGAAATAATACAATAGAAATTATTCTTCCACCTCTTCAGCTCCTCCCCCAAGAAGTATTAGTGGAAACTTTCCCCATTAAACCCATTTCTTTGAGATGTACTCTTTTTTTCCTTTAATAATGCGAACGTTGTATGTTTAACCTCTTGGTGGTAGCAAACAACAAACTTCGTGTAAGCATGTCCAATTTTAGAGAAACATCCTTCTTGCTCATTCCACCAGTTATTCCCCCAAAAAGTGAAGGGAGTTACCTTGTCTAAGAAGTATAACGTTTTCTTTAAAATTGTGATTTTTATACATTCTCTTTTGATCATGCTTCACTCCTAATCGCAAACTATAATTTAAAAATGCCTACAGACATGGGCAACAATTCAACTCCGAAAATTTATATTTTTGTTAATGCAAACTGTCATTTGATGGCAGCATGTTAATGTTCACGTTATTATAAAAAAGCCTGATACACTAAGGTGGCAACTTGATTTTATGTCTCCAAATATGTTAGAGAACGAATTCTTTGCTACAGAGAAGACATTTTTTCTTTAAATAAGACACATCAATGATGTTTTATTACTTTCAAACATGTAAAATACAAGAAATAAAGCATCTTTAGGGAGCAAACCCATCACAACCCAAGGGAAGGGTTAATGCTGTATCCATCACCACTCCAAAAACTGATACTAAACTATAATTTATTTTTTACGTTGCTCCCAGATTGCCTTACGCGTCAGAACTCAGTTTCATATCTGAAATAAAAAAAGGGTCCCAAGAGCCTGCTATGAAGAAATTCAACATGCATAGATTAAAGAAGAGTTAGCATTCTGATTGAAGATTGGTTTTGGCTTGGGATGTTATGAACGGTCTGTTGATGCCCACTATTTAAGAAAAAACTTTGAATCTAAATCGAAAAATTTCGAGGATTTTGTGAAGCATGAAACTGGCTTAAATGACCACTAGATAATTTGTCTCATTCTAACGCTCATCTATTAAATTTGTTTCGATATCAACAAAGAGAGACTGCTGTTGAACTGATATAAGCTAAATGCGATATAACTGCTACCTTACTTCTTTTGTACCCAAAGTTTGTGTGATTACCTTCAAGCGACGTACATTAGATCTGCAGAGTATTTCGTCTCAATTTATTTCTTAAACTCTCAGAAAATAGCCTAGTCAAGTTTTACCAAATGGCATAATTTAAACTTACGCACTTGGGTTGAGAATTACGTAGAAATGCTTACGTTTGAAGTACTTTATTTTATTCGCATAAGCTAATTGCAGCCATTAAAGCTAAAGTTTGAAATCCTTATAACTAAAATTTACAACACAGTATTCACAAATAATACGAATAACTTCCTCCCTAATAATTGTTATCGTTATAACATCCATATACAACCTCATTACATCTATAAAAATGGTTAGAAACTCGGTCACTGGCTCTTTTAGAGACGCCAAGTAACCTTTCACTTTACTGCGATATTCGGCACTCCTATCATCTGCCGTATTGTTGTTAATGATATGCTCCACAGCTCCTCCACACGAATCATTCAAATATCTTAGCGCAATTCGTTCCATTTCCTAATTTTTTTACGTAAAATTATGTTACTTTAATGAAAACATAAGTAACCCATAGCCACAATGGAAATTTAATCCCCTATGTTAATATATTTATGCTCAACAATTGTTCCATGAAAGGCAATAAATATTAAAAGTAGCGATGATTTTAGTAAAGGAAAGCGTACAATATCCTCCATATGGCTAACTAAACGGCTATATAGTTAAGATTGACTATAAAATATAGAAAGCTATTGTAGATGTTTTGATCTGTGGTTCCATCCACCGTCAACGTAAACAGTCCAGCTTTCTTACATTCATTGGCTACTGTGTCACTAACGATCCTTAAAAGGTCTCTATAACTTCATTTTGAATATTATGTAAAGTGTACTTTGCGTTTGTCGGCAATCGCTTTACTGTCTCATCCAAATTTGGATTTTGAGCGAAGTGAAGATCAGTGAACGTAGTAAGATAAAGCCCACAAGAAATTTTCTCGTTAAAATCTGTCCTTCACTCGTTTCCTCGGAACGGCTGTCAATTAACAACAATATATTTTATCGTGTTGAATGCAGTTTTAACCATACTTTATGTTCTGGGTTTAGTTGGATGAGATTTTGCACTGTCCTACCCCGACTTTCTTTATATTTCTTCTCTTTCAAACTTGCCATAGCTTGAATATGCACTTCTGGTGTTTATTAAATCCTTTATTAGTTTTCATGGCAGCCTTCCAATTTAAGAAACCAACTTTAGTGAAGGTTTTGTCTTTTTTCACAAAATTTTTGTAAGGATAACAAAAACAGGCGTCGACGTTCTCAAAGTACTCCAACCATGAAAATAAGTTATACGATCGTGCTTAAAAACACCTTTCTTTATTACTCTTGCTTCTTTTGGGATAACTATCAAGCAAAGGTCTTGATTTTTGTATTTTTGCCATTGAGATCTTTCTAATAGAGATGCTGGAGAAGATCCAGTAGCCAGGGATTCGCTTAACATTTCGTATGTGTGTGTGAAACTTGAAATATAATGCAATAGGTAAATTCAGAGCCCTCTATTGGAAGAGTTAGGACAACGTGTCTGAGGTGAGCGCGAAGCCCCCATTTTCCTTCCTACTTGCAAGTTAAACTTATAATGAAACTGTGTGAAATTGACTATGTGAGCAAAGCAATGAAGCAATATTGCCTTCATTAGTAGAAATTTTAAACTAAATATATCAGAAACCACAATCAAGCTTTTGGCGTTTTTGTGAATAATTACTGCAAACCAAACTCAATTTTATGGATTTCAGCTACATTCGCGGTTGACTAGTTTGTGCTTTAAAACTAATCGTGACCCACCGCTAGACATTTTTATGTATGTGAACGTATATTCTAGCAGTTTTTAGCATAAGCACCAACATATTTGTTTTCATTGCCTATAATTTACCATCAATAAAGAAAATACTCGACATTTCAGGGGCATATTCTTGGCCGGGAAAAAACGCTACTACACATACGGCCAGACTTAATCAATGCTTTGTCGGGTATAAGGTAAGTGAAATCAAATCACTGCTGCTCACTTTTGATTATATTTCACATTTCAAAACTATAGAGGCAACTTAGCTGGTAAAAGTATATTCTTTAGAAATTCATCCCTAATAATCTTATTCTAAAACTAAAAAGTATTTTGAATTTACAATTGAGCTGCTATAATTTATTTTGACTTGTGCCTGTGCCTGCTATTAAATCAGTGTTATCCATAGTTGGACAAAGTTCTGTTTTCAAGCACTGTAATCATGAAATTTTACTCAGGTAGTACATATTTTGCAACGTGATGCAGGCATGAAAATTTAATGCAAACAGATTACAATTTTTTTTTGCTGGAAAATTATGGACTTAAAACATTTGTTAGATGCAGTATCTCTTTAATATTCATTGCTGTCATACGGAATTTTTAGAGGGAGCATTACAGTACTGGTGTTGTAAGGAAATGGGATCAGCTTTACAGAAATGACTTTCGATGGCAGCATTGAAAAAATATCGTGCATAACACAACATGCGAAATTTGAGCCTCCACTACACGAGGCTGTTCTTGAAATCTTTAGGGCGTTGTTGAGAGACAGAAATGGACGTGCTTATCGCCGCTAAGCATCGCAACCATTAAATATGTAAGATAGTAAGATTGTACAAGAATTTCTCATTAACAATGTTTTATCAACAATGATTTGTCTAACCTTATTTACTTTAGGTATTTGAGAGCATACAGATGGTTGATGATTTTGTAGATGTATAGTATGAAAGAGCAGTCGTCCTTTACCTGCTTGTGTTTACCACTTTACTCTGAAAGCATATCCAAGTGGTACAACAAGTCAATAGACTTGTGTAGTGACTGTTGACCGTCTTTGCTGAATTTAGAATGGTCAGGAAACATGCCTAGATGAAGACCATGCAGGAGATATATGTATGCACTGTATAAGTGGACATGCAATTTATTGCATTGAAACGAGGGGATACAATAAAAAAGGAACTGCTGAGTGAATAAGTGAAAGAAAATCTTTTTAGCTTTTTTCATTGAGCTCTATAAGACCTGGAGGGGCAAAGGGGCCTGGACCCCGTGGTCAAAAACATGAAGGTAATGGCGGATTTTGGTTGTCAAAACTTCCACTTTGAGAAAAATTTTTAACATTCGCTCCCTCCCGAAACGGATCTCTATTACTGCTCATAGTAATGACAACCAGCAAAAACAACCACGATACCGTAAGCATAAAATATTGAAAATAATGCTTAAGGTTTTTGTGAAATAGACACACACATTTAAATGAGGTAAATCTACTGTAAAATAACGTATATTTTGTCAAGTAATGCTTTAGATATATTAGAAATAAATATCAAACGACAATCTTTACACTTTTAATGTGTTGTTAAGCTTTAATGCATAATCCCATGCGCATTACTTGTGTTTTTGACTGTTTGTGAACAGCTTGGTGCAACTGTCTTTCTTGAATAGATGGGTAAATCTTAGTTAAAATGTCGAAAAGGAGTTAGAAAAGTTAGCTTACCTACGACTTAAGTCGACTGGAAATATATTATAAGTAGGTATGTAATTGTTTTGAGTTTTTTTTGGTAGGATTGATTCTGGGTGTCTTATAAAGTATTATGATATTCTGATAAATCTACTGAGAACTTATGAGGAAAATATCTTGAACTAGGAGAGCAAAAGAACGAAATTCAGAAATTCTATAATCATGTTGCTGATTCTGTTTTAAGCCAAGATATTAGAAACTGGATTGTTATTGACAACCATGGATCTACTACTAAACAGAACTACATTAATTTCCCATTGAAAATACTATTTCTTAAATCGAAGTGCATTGGTTTCTCTGACATAACACTTTTCTTATTGCTGCATGAAGGCAAACCTGTTTAAATAATTATGTAGGTGAAGATATTTCGCATGTTGTATAATTGTTATTATACAGACATTATTTATAATATTATGGCCTTGTGTAATGTATGTCAAGAACTTATTAATTCTCAAAAATGCTAACCTTCTTGCACTACTTTTCTTTTGTGTCCTTACAAATTACAGTTACCTATACTAATTTTTTCTAGGTTCAAACAACTTGATAAATTTTGAATTTTACATTATGCCTTTGAATTTTTCTTTTTGTCTTTTGGTAAAAATATCAGTGAATGACTTAAAATCAAGTTTATCTAAAATAGTATTTTGTACAAAGTAACTATACATAATTGGAAAAGTCTCATGTTGAAGGCAGATGTGGCTTCTTTTACTAGATTGCTACTCTTATTCTTTTAAATGATATCGTAATTCTTCAAAAGACATAAAAGTTCTTTGCCATCAATTTTGCTTCTTCCACATTCAACTTCATTGCAACCAATGCATCTTATGTGAATTTTAATCACCTGGAATTGAAAAATGTATGGATTTTGTCAGATGATGCAGTACTGTATTTAATGTTTCATGCATGTCATGATAAGCTTTTCTTGAGCAAATATTTCAAGGTAGGAGCAAAATTTGGCACATTATTGAACAAAGTAGTTTTTATCTTGATTTTGATGTACTAACCTGTTTAGTACACTGTGTAACAAACAATTCATTTACAGAAACACCATATGGCATTTATAAAACTTTTAGCATAAAGCAAACCTTTACACACCATCATCATGCTTGTCCAAATCTGTCAAATTGTCCAGGCTAGCTGTTTAATACAGGTAATTTTTATTGTACGACATGTACCAAAGAGCTCATTAATTACCGTAAATGCTCGAATAAGCGCCCGGGGCGCTTATTTAATTTTTGGAGGCGAGAGGGGGGCGCTAATTCGAAGGGGCGCTTATTGGAAGGGGCGCTTATTTCATTTTCGGATTTTTGACGTGAAAATGACACTGGTATTTTATTTCTTGTGACCTTAACTGTAACATAAGTATGAAAATTTTGAAAACGTTAACATTCTAGAAAGCAACATTAACATTTTGTGAAACTTGAAATGTTCTCCAAGCGATTTCCTGGTGCCCGTTAAAGGGCATGTGTATTGTACAATGCGTTTAACATCGTGAAATGTTTTGTATATATAAAGAAAGCCTGCCGTTAATGTTCAGCGGTTGTCTTCAATTTAACACACAATGAAAATAGTACTGACATTGTTTATGCTATATCGCGTCTTTCGCTAACCATTTGATCCTTAATCAATCTCAATTTCTGTATCGCTGTCATCAAGCAATGTTGACACAGGAGCAGCATCTTCAACATCTGATAGCGTGATATCCTGAAAAGGATCATTCTCCAGTGTTTGCTGAAGTTGCTGCTGAACTGCCTTCAGTTGTGCCAGGCCAGAATGACAAGGTTGACTCGGCTTTAAGCAGTGTATCAGCTCATCTTGAGAACCGTCGACAGCAAGTGTCAGCGCACAGCACTTGAAGGAGTTAACAATAATGTCCTTATCCAGATCATTCCATGCTTCAATGATCCACTGGACAATCTCTCGCCTAGGAGGAGCTCGCCCTGCTGCAGTAAACGTGTGTTGACCATTTGCCATCCACTCGTCATATCTCTCAGTCACTTTGGCTTTGAATGGTTTGTTCCACGATACATCAGGCGCTTGGATATATTTCGTACACCCCAGGTATAATTACAGGATCTATCTTTGCGCGATTGAGCTCTTGTTTAACGCTGTCTAAGACGTGGCATCTAAAAGAATCCCAAGCCAGCATCCGTCTGGTGAACGAAAACTGGCCCAAGACACTTTTAACCCAAGAAACGGTTAGTTCTTCATTCATCCATCCATTAATCGAGGACGCTACGACACACTTTGTTCTGAATTCCTCATTCAGTGCTTTCGACTCTCTTGGCACCTGGAAAACGATGAACGGCTTTAGTTTGGTACCGTCTCCTTTGCAGTCAAACACACTGAAACCTTCGTTTTTTCATGGCCAGTTGTTTTCAATCGAATTGTGCTTTCGCCAATGTTGTCGACCGTGGTATTGGATACCATATCTTGCCATACTGCTGTCTCATCCATTGCAATGATATCCCTGTCTTGGTAAGCGATTTTTTTACGTTGCCGGCGAATCTGCAAAACATACGCTATGAGTTTGTCTATCACTTTCTCGGGGTCCTTTTGTGATTCAGTGGTTTTGCGTCTGATTGCCAAACCATGTCTTGACATGAACCGCTGTAACCAACCGGAACTGGCAAGAAACGATGGTGGCATTTCCTTCTCTTTGCATTTCTCGTTATCGAAAAATTTTGCTTTGCTTGCGATCATTTTTCTGGAAACACGAAGGCCATTGGAACGGCGCTCATGTACCCACTGTAATAATGCTTCTTCGAGGTCTTCATCGAATGGCTTTCGTCCGCCTCCTTCAAGCCGCTTTCTCTTGCTGCTAGTATCTTCCAATTTGCTTTTCTTTTGTCGCCATTCTCTTACTCTCTTGCGGTCGACACCAAACTTTGCTGCGGCTTTTCGGTTACTGTTACACTCTTCGGCAAATTGAACAGCCTTAAGTTTAAATTCGTTAGAATAAGAAGAGTTCTTCAATCCTGCGTGCGATGTAGATGCTAGAGTTATACTTTCGTCCATGATGTCAAAGGTAAGCATGCTGTAATGCGAGAAGGCCGGAAAAGACCTCCCATGAGAAGATCACATTGTATCACGTGCTACCAAACACGTGTGTGACATTCATCTGCTGTTTACAACATGGCGCGTTCAAGCTATACCTTTACTTGGCAAATGGTTTACGAAATAGAATTTGCGTCTGTGATAAGAGGACACCATGTTTATAAAGCTAAATGGTCACCACAGCTTGGAGAACGGCTAGTGTGTCGGAAAGACGATCGAAAGGAGGCTAAAGAGCACGATGAATATGCGATTGGAACATTTATTCAAGACAGTGGCAAGCTGGTTGGACATGCGCCCATTGAACTTTCCTTCCTCGTGTTTACATTTTTACGAGCTCATGAGGATAATGCGGTGGAGGTAAAAGTAACTGGAAAAGAAAACTTGAAAAGGCCTAGTTGTTCCAGGAACTTTTAAAGCAGTAACACGAAGCCGGCGACTGGGAGCAAAGTTTAACGAGGAACTTGATAAAGTAAAGCTCCTATGTGCCCACATGGATATTGAAATCAAGCAAATGAGAAGCAAACCTCTGAAGAACATTGATTTTGAGTTCTAACGAATGTCCGTTACCGATGTAAAAAATTAAAAATACTGTGTATCGAACTGAGTACCGAAGTTCATCTTTTATCGGGGGAAGGGTGGGGGGGTTGGGGGCGCTTATTTGAGAGGACGCTTAGCAAAACCCGTCTTTTCTCGAGGGGCGCTTATTGGAAGGGGCGCTTATTTCAAAATTTGAGTCCTAGGGGGCGCTAATTCGAAGCGGGGCGCTTATTGGAAGCTGGGCGCTTATTCGAGCATTTACGGTAATCCTGCACTGCATTTGATTTCAATACAGCTCTGTCCTTAATATTTGCTTCATATTTTCAGAAAAATATCATGAAAAAATCCTCCATTTCAACTCAGTTGAAACAAGGAGTTTTAAGATATGCATATCTCGATAAGAACTGGTTGCTTTGCCTCGTCTAGCAATCGATTAAGTAAAGAACAAATAAGACTGGATAAACATAACTTAAATTACAACCTAGGAGTAAAAACATTCACAAAATATATGCCATCACACTTCAAGTATTGACTTAAAACAAAACACTGAACACTTTAAATAGTAAACAATCTTACGTTGCTTACCGGTGTCATGAAATGTTTCCTTTTCTGGCATTACTTCAGCATCCGTATACCAAACAAGTTTGCAGCATGTTTTAAAGATAAAATTTCTAAAAGTTTTTGTGCTTGGCATTGATATTTTCTATAATCGCAATTGTGGTTGTCAAATCCGGGTGGGCGAAAAAAATTTCATTTTATGAGCCTGCGTCTTTCCGCTGACTTTGACAACCAAAATCCGCCATGTTTTTGACCACGCGGCCGCGCGCTAATAATTTATACTAATTTTGTTGACGTTTCCCCTCCAGGTCTTATAGAACTCAATGGCTTTTTTACAATGTCAGTCTCCGGAAAGAAGGCAAAAAAGAAAAAATATAAGAAACTATATCACAGCATATTTAAAATATAAAAATTTTTCAAGGAACTAAAATGATCTTTTTGCTCTTTTTAGATCCATGGCATTACTGCTGCCAACTGTTGAAAAATATAAATACTTTTACCATTAAATTAAAAATACCAAAAATTATGAATTTTATTATTTGATAATACCTGAAGCAATTCAAAATGTACCAGCTTTGATGTTGTGTAGTTCCACATTGTGTAGACTCCATATGCATGATTTGCACTGTGTCCCCTAGAATCAAAAGCATCTCCTGACCACGTCTGGCTATCTGTCTCACTTTTGTTCCTATCTTTAATCAATTTCAAATGATAGCTTTCCCAATGCGTGAGAGCAGCTGGAAACAAAAAGGCACTAATTATTGAGACTTTCATGTGCTTGAAAATTATCAAGGCTTGACTTATATTGACACCAGACATTATTATACCGAAACTTGCCATAATGTTTCTAGCTGGAGATCTTCCCATAACCATAGAAAAATAACAATGGAACAATGCTTTGAGTTGAACTTTTGGATTTTCAGCTTTGCAGTTACAGCAAAATCTTTTAAATAACTCAACTATAATGAAATGTAAAATACCATGAACAAATATCATTAAAGCTTGTTTCTTCATCAATTCCAAGACATGATTAAAAAATATAATCATGAAATAAAACAGGTATTTAATTCTATAAAAGACAAAATCCCTGACTGTATTCTTGGCGGTCTCTTCATCTAAATCATCACATTGACTATAGACTTTTCAAAAGAAGAGTAATCTATGCACGATTCTTCATTAAGAAGCTTCTCTAGATGGTTCAGGAATCCCAGCCGCATCAATGCCTGGGAGAGCTTATTTCTTCAACCTTCTTTTGAGTTTGACTTGCACACTCAAATTAAGATAAATACAAATCCTCAAAATGTGCGGAACAAAGACATGAGGTAGAGGAAGCCTCAAAACCCGGTCGATGTTTTAGCACAAAATTTACCAAATTTCTTTCGTCTTTTGGCTCCGTTTCTTGTTTGGGAAACAGGTGCATCGACATTCCTTCGGTTTTTGAATCATTGGCGAAACTAACTTCATTAGTTCCGCCTGCAACACAGCGTTTCCTCAGCGTTTTTTGTTAAAATTTGCAAGCTTAAGCTTACAGGACGCACCTTTAGCGCGACGCCGTCGTTGAAACAGACCTGATTAAGAAAATTGATAGCCAACGGCAGCGTCGTAGCAACAGACCTGATTAAGAAAATTGATAACCAACGGCATATGTGTTTGTAAAGCGATGACTAGCTTTAGAAAAACTAGGGAAGAATTCTCTGTTGCATATGATGCAAACTTTATAAACGCTAAAAAGTTGATGTGGTGGTGGGAAGCAAAAGTTCTTGAGCCATATTTAAGTCCATAGAAAAAAACTAAATAACCATGACGACGCCGTGTCTTTGACAAAAATCGAAGCATCGTCGCCACACAACGCGCCGATTTTCAAAGAGACGCATGCGCAGTTGTTGAAATCACGAGAATTTACTTCGTGTAAGCGTCGTCGTGAGGGCGCATCGCGTGAACTTAAGCTCGCTATCACTAGTAGAATACGCCATGTTCATATATGTGCTCAACTAGCCATATACGTCACATTCATTAACATACCGATCAAAAAGTTTGCAAAAAATTTGCTGGAAATCCTGACTTTGAACGTTCATAAAATCACTTCTACGAATCCAATTTCAGTTAAAATTTCAGGAATAACACCACTGAGACACCTTGTTGTTAATACATGCTCTCATATTCTTCCTGTAATTAGTAAATAATTAAGTCAAGTGTAACTAACTAAATGGTTATTTTATGAGATACTTAAGAGACTGGTATTATATATATATCTCTCTATACTTGTAATTTAATACTGTCTGATGATGTCTTGAGAATCAAGACGAAACGTAACGCTTCTAAATAAATATTTTTTTTATGCATTAAATGGCTCTTTTAAAAGCACTTCGGTGCGCTTTGATATTTATAATAAGAATTCGCTTTCCGCTCGGTATATCCCTGGTCACAATTCTGAAGTTATATTAAACATGAAAAAGTTATCTTGTTTTGGAATAAAAATGTGGCGCCGTCAGCTCACTTAAAAATAAGTTCATCATTTGATGACCTTTCCCCCATCGTGTTATGCAATAATTTGTGTACTTTGAAATCTGAATTCAAATATTGTGTTCATTTTCTTGAATTTGATTTCCAAGTACTGTTCATTAGTCTCTTCAGCTTCTTTCTCGTCAACCTCCAAAAAAAAACTCAACACAGTACAACTAATTAATAAAAGCATAAATAAAAAGGACACAAAATACTATACAACATCACCATAATCGTGGTTATCTCCACATTAGATTTATGACAAGAGACCCATGAAGTATGACAATGCTTTCAGTAACACTGTCACTACGACATTAAAAACATGTAATAATAGCTGTTGGTATACTTCTCACCACAAAAAATCTGGTATAATACACACCTTTGCTTAATGATACCAATGCTGTCTGCACATTGCAAATTTGTAGGATGATATATCTATGCCCAGATGGATCTAATAACAATGCTTCTGACAATCTAAAACGGTTAAAGGCTATTATATATCACAAACATCAACTACAAGTGTTCGCCAGTAAATATAACACTTACCTGTCTTCGTTTTCCATCGGTCATCTCGTCCTCAAATGGTTCCACGATTTCAGCCACATCGATAGTAGGAACTGCATCTTTCTTTAATCGTCGTTTTAATTTGACGGAAACACTGATATTTACATCAAACCACGATTCCTCAATATGCGCACAACAAAGAAACGAAGTTGAGGTTGCTTTAAAACCCGGTCTATGTTTACGTACGGAGGTTACCCGCTTTCGTCGTCTTTGTAAATCTTTTTCTTTATTAGTAAAAAGGTGCATAGATATTCTTTCAGTTTTCGAATTGTTAGCGCAAATAACTTGAATAGATCAGCCCGCAACACAAATGAAATTAGACAAATAATAACATATAAATACATAAATATGACCATTCAATTCTCAATCATCCACTATCAATGGAATATAAAATGTTGAACCAATCATAGAAACTGATGTATAGGAAATAACTATAATCATAGCAATGTAGTTAAAAGAAATATTTCTTACTCTACTACTTTGCTGGGCATATTTATACCCAGTTGAACCAATACTTGGTGAAGGATATCTCTTTCTTATGTCATTGGAAGACAAGCTGAAAAAGGTCTGGTATTATCCCACTCTGTTCAGTTAAGTTCAGTTTGGTTTATTTTTATAAAATAAAGTAATTGATTATGCATGGAGATTTGAGCCCGAGATCATTATTACTTACTGTTTTCAAGTACAAGGAATACAAAAAACTCTTAAATTGTGTAAAAAATGAGACGTATTTTAAACGTAATTCGTTTCTAATAACAATTTGGTTGGCACAAATGTAAGTAAACATTGAGAGGGATTTCAGTAATCATGATGCTCTTGATATTACAAGCTTCTTGAAGGCACACGATGTATGAACAACTTAATATTGTTGATAATAAATGGCTTCACGATAGTGGTAAATTAATGGTAATCTCGGAACACGTTTCGAAGTTTCGAAACATTCAAAGGCATTAAAATTAGAAAAACAAAACCTTACGTCGCTTCAAAATTGGAAACAACTTTTTAGCACATTAATCTTGCCCTTACCATTAGAATAGAACGAGAATGAGCACAATTATTTAATAGTCAACCCTTAAAGTATAAATATATGTTAAATCCTTATCATGAAAAAGATCCTAACAAGGATAAGATTTATGTAGGATTGATAATTACATTTAAGATAGTAGATCAGACAACTAAATTTGGAGTAAAAATTTTTGCCACAAGTTGATTTTTAATGCAAACCTTATGACTACTAACCTTATGTAAACAATAATAAAATCAAAAATTTTAAAGTGTTTCTCTGATTTCTCTTTTCTCTTTTTGTCTGTAACCATACAAATGAAAACAGATTTTTTATATTTTTCAAATTAATATAATGCTTTGAATAAAGGATCACTGTCGTTGGTCTTTTTTAAAACTGCGTACGTAACCTTTTCAAAGCCAATTCCTGTTCTTGCAACTTCCTCTTTAATTGAAAGACTTTGTGCTCGTGAGCTGTTAAAGCAACATCGCTCGATTGTTTTTCTTCGCTAAATACATAGTCAGCGTTGTGTATTTGAAAGTTGTCTTCACGAAGATAATTTAGAAAATTCACTTCATTCCCTGAATTTTGATAAGAAGATTTGATGTGAGGTGGCCCCATTTCAATGGAGTTTGTCAAAAAGGAAATCACATTTCCATCTTCACAATGTTCTTTCTTCTTTCTTTCCGATATCTCAGAAGATTTTCCTTGCATACACGAATAATACGTTATTGACGGATGTAAAACCATCTGGTGTCTTGCATTTTCTTTATATATCAAAGAAGGAGAGCGTGGAGATGTGATAGGAAAGTCTAGCTGAGTTTTTAAAATTTCCTCGGGTAATGAAGATAATGTAAAAACGTTCTTAATTACTGGAAAAGAGACTCTTGATTTTTCATGGTAATTTATAAATAGTTGAGAGTTTTTTGTTATATTCGAGTCTTCTTTAGCGAAATTCTTGAAAGAGCAAACCTCCAGAACATCAGGTATTTTTTCAGATTTTGCTGACACTTTCTTATGAAATGTGCCTTTCTTCTTATCTTCAGACAAGGCACAAGCGGCTATTTCTGAAGCAAAAGTGTTAACCGTATTTAGCTTTCCATCTCCATGGCTTTCTTTTGTATCCGAGGACTTAAAAGTCGAGTTTGAGTAAGCTCCGTTTTTCATATCAGTTTCAATAGAACATAAAACACGCCTTCGTCTAAAAGTCAAGATTTTATATTAACATGATTGCATTGAAAGAAAAACTAAAAAACAGAGGTACCTAGAGAAAATCAAAACATAACAGGTCTAAAAGACTGTAAGTGGGATCCACTTGTGCATACGGAGATTGTGTATTGGTAAGAGAAGTTTCGAGTTAAATTAGGGATAAACATGCACAAATTAGCTTTTTAAAGAGTGCAACTAAATAGCGAAAGTTCGAAGGACGAGTGCTCTTGGCAGTCTTTAAAAAACTTACTAGTCTATCTTTAGGTGTAATTGCAAGAGAAACTATCCTACTGCTTAATAATAATACACTTTTAGGTATTTCTTGACTGTATTGTCTAAGTCTATCTTGTTTCGTTACTCTCAAACGCTTTAGAAAAAGCCTGGTTACGCAGCACAATTGTTTAAAACATTCACCCAAACGACAGTTCTTCCGGTTTGGTTTGTACTCTTTGCATTCTTTTGTAATGCTTGAATCTCAAACGCTTCCAGTTGTGGAAAACTTTGTTTATCACAACATCTGCCATGTCTTCTTTTGAATTGAAAAGAAGTTTGTTTGGCTTTCACTGCTTTTCAGTCAATCACAAAAACAGTTTTTAAGTGCAATTACACATGCTATAGTGCAATTACAGCTTTGCTACAGAGCATTTACAGATCTTCAACAGTGCAATTACACATTTTCATAATGCAATTACAGATAAGCTGCACTGCAATCAGTGAATCAAAGTCGAGAAAATCTCAAAGTATATAATTATAAAGGTAATTAAACTATGGCTTAGGTAAAGTGAAATTATGTAGCTACATATAAAAATAATAAATATAAAAATGTGAATTGCAACAACAAAGTGAATGTAGAGAATAGTATATTTGCGACTTATTTCCAAGGCCAGTTTCAGTTGATTGAGTTAAGTTAAGTTAAGTTAAAATTGAGTTAAGAGCATATCGATTGTATTGTACTAACAAGAAAGATGAAGGAGAAAGCGAGGTAAAGTTTACTAACAGTAAACTTTTTTGAAAACAGTAGAGGATTGTCATCTTTAGGTTTACATGGTGAAAGACACGTGACGTTCATTGTCATGGCACATGGATTTTAACAAGACCTTTTGCAAAGACCACTTCGTACGACGAGTACGAAGTACATCATTTCGACCTGAAAACATTGTTGCGACTACAACAACACATAGCTATCATCAATCTGAGTACGATGTTTTGTTAAAATGTTCTAATCGTGACTAAGATCTCTTTTCAAACAAAGAAAGTAGAAACACTTTTTTATTGAGTAAGAAATCAGCTTACAGTACTGTTTTTCATCATCCAGGCTTTATGACAGAAACTTTTTTGAGCGCAGATGTACAAAAACGAACAGCAAAACTTCCATGTATCTCGTACGCTAAGTAAAGCGTAAACATACAGTAAAATACTACAAATACATCGTACATAAAACGTAAAATAGACAAGATTTTTTAGTCTTAAGAGACCTATATTCTCTCAAAATCAGTATATATGATTTGTTGATATCATTGTTCACTAATAGAATCGTAGGTACTTCGCAAAGTTCAGTGTTTCTCACAATAATGAATCTCGTTCTGTTGTTTACAAGTAAAACAAAATTTTGACGAAGCGACAACAACAAGAAGCTTCCTCGCGCCAATCCCTTACACGGTCAAATTTCGTACTTGTCGTCTTAGTCGTACTCTTGCTAAAGCTCTCTAATATGTGAGCGATACATTATTAAGCCATTACTGTATTTTAAAATTGAGTTTAAATATTTATATACTATTAGTTGTTAATAAAGGCACCCTACGACAAGATCTTCAATACCGCCGTCGCCGTACGTTTGTAATATAATAATTAATTTTATCAACGGCTCATATACGATCGTTTTGTAACTGATAAGCAGGTTTTTAAAAAGTCAAATTTTGGAACAAAAAATTTACCTTGAAGAAACTTTAGCGTAGCTATCGCGTGGTTTTTCAAACTTTATTTAAAACTTTAATTTTCCACATTTTTGATTGTATAATTTACGCATGTTTGAATTTCTTTAAAGGACAATGGCAATGAAAAATTTTTTTTCATACGTTTATCATAGATACCTATGGAATACTTAATTTCGTGTTTTCGTGTCTCTTTTGAATTTTGCTGTTGAGAAAATTTGACATAAAGTCGAATCCTTATCCGCCATTTTTGAAAAAACCCTTATGCTAAATTATGCCGAAATACATTACTGACGTCATTGGCTGGTATCAACTGAATGACACAATATAAAATAATAGTATTATAATAAAATATAGCACATTAGTTCACTGGAATTTTAAAACAAAACAACAGTCGGCGGTTGTTAAGATTAACAAAGTTGTGTTATCACGCTTATATACTTTTCCAATATTTAGTCGTTATAAGACGTAGAAACGTTTATTATAGCAGATCTTACATTTAGGCTTTCGCGACATACCAAGTGTAAGCCAAGACAACAATAGGCGTGTTTTGTACACTGAATATTTCGTGCAATAGAAATATTTCATTTTCCCATATTAGAAACCTGTGACCAACAAAGAGTTTAAGTTTAATTTATTATTTATATATATGAGTCTGCGAGATTATGTAGTTTTATATAGGTGATAAGCTCAAAGCCGCTATGTTTTGTTCTTGACTGTACAGTTTCGTTTAACCGTAATGTTTTACGTGCGTGTTTGCGTGCACAATGTACAAGTACACTTTTCTATTAACTTTATAACTTATGAATGAATACAAGTTTTCGGTGGATCACTCATGCATTTTGCTTTTGCGCAGTTCGTGACAATTCTTTGACAATGATATGGCATCGCAATTGCAGATCATAACAAAGAACATCAAAGAGCGTCTGTCTAAGACTAAATTTACGGTCTTTCGTGATAACATGCGTACTTAAAATGTGTATAAAGTCCGTCTGGTGACGCGAGCGTTTTCGTATGCTAGCATAAACACAAGTAGGAAATGGTCTTCGATGTTTATTCCCTAAAATTTGAAAAATCCCCCTAGAACATCTTTGATATGCGACTAATCGATGCAGCTTGTGTATTCTCTCCAGATCCTCATCAGACAGGGGCCTGTTTTCTTCAAGATATCGACACACGTCTATCTTTAACACACTTTCTGACAGCATATTGTCCCTAAATTCTTGGTGTGTTGTCAAGCAATACTCTCCTTGAGTTTCTGTTTGGCCTAGTAAAGCCTCATGCTCATCGTATTCAAGCGCTTTTTAGTGGCAACAAAGACACTCGATTGCCTTTTTCGACAAAGTACAATGTCCAAACTTACACCAACTAAGAGTTTGAAGGCGGCAAGCATTTGCTCTCTCAAATTAAGCATCTTTTTCATCCTCCGACGAGGACAAGTCGCTCTGCTTTCTCTCCTGTTTGGAACCGCTTTCTTCGCTTGTTTCGGCCTTCACTTCTATTCATATTGATAGGGCAGAACCTCACTCGGTTGATTTTCGGTTATGTCATCCATTACAGCAAAAAAAATCAGGAAAATACGCTTTAAAAGTGTTGTAACGCCGTCAATCACAAAGTATATTGTATTGTTGTTTTGACTGCTCACCAGCCAATGACGTCACTACCGCTCGAGATAATTTTATCAAAATTTTATCCAAGATGGCGAAATTTATAAAACTATTGCAGCAAATATCTCAGCAACAAAATATTTTTGAAAAAATTTTTGCTATTTTAGTTCGTAGACATCACAAAGGTTCAAATATAAGCCATAAAATTTTTCGCTGCCAATGTCCTTTAAGAATTAGATACGAATGTACTTAAGCGACATTCATTTCCATTAAAAAAAGGGAGTTTTTGATTAAATATTTTTTCCTATCTTGTTTGCATAATGGAGATTTACGTCAAACAAAAATTGCCTTTTAATCATGGCGCAGCAATGTTTTTATTTGCACAATAATAGCATTTTTAATTGTTGAAAACAATTTGGCCGATTTATTGTTCATCCTGACATGTGCTTATATATTTCACATTGTTCTCAAAATATTTAAACACAACTAAAGACGTTCGTTTAATTGGAAGCACTGCAATGAACATTAAATAATAATGCCCTTAAAATTTTAATTTGCTTAACGGATAAAAGTTTGACGTTGGTAGAACTCTCGACGTTGCCGCGCCTCCACTTGACATAAGCGCTTTAATACTTGGGGCAGCAGAAAGTTTAAATTGTTGAAACTAAAGAGCTTCGTGATGCCCTAAAGTATAGAAAGTACTGGACTATGTCCTGTCGACTTTAAAACAGTGTACAGAATTTTGAATTTCAACAAACTGTGAAATAATGTAGTCGTTTTTAATGGGGCAATAAACAAGAAGTTCTTAAATCTTTTACAATTTTAAGAATCATTTAAAATAAAATTTAAGTCAAGCTCTGTATTCCACTACTGATATGTTGACGGAGGAATCCATCAATTCTGTCTTTAACGTGATAAATTTCTGCCACGCATTATTATAATTTCACACAAAACATGCATTCAACAATGTCAACAATGTATACCGTACAACGCAATATTAAAATCACGCCAACAAACAAACTTTTGACTCAACAATGCCTCTTTGTTGGCATTCTTATCACGACAAAAGTATCGGTTATATTATTAAATACATACCTTGGTTGCCTTTGTTTATGTTTCATGTTAACAGCACTTAGGATGAGACGTTGATATTGACTATAAGACGCAAACTGAACAGCTGCGTATTTATCACTGTTTCTTGTTAATTTGAATAAGTTTTCTGTTACAAAAGCCTTAACAGAAAAAAACAACAATTACTTGCAAAGTAGGTCGCGAGTATGGGCACGCAGACTGTTGTGAAACTGATAAATTTAACCACAAAAATCTCCACGACAATTATTTTGAATATCAAATTTCACGTCATGTGTTCACCATGACCATATATGGAAGGCAGACTTGGCACCTACAATCTTAGCTATAATTCTAATTGATTTGCTGCACAAATAATTTGCATAACGGTTGTAAAAAATGATTTTTCTGATGTCTTTGAGATAGTTTGGCTTTTTTTGTTTTAACAATTACTTATGAAATTTTATCACACGATACTTTTCTGTTCAACATAATAACACTGAAAATATTTTTGCAAGATCTTGTGTATGTTTAATCGACTTTGGCACAAGACTTTGCGAAGATTCAAAACTTCTAATCAAAGAAAGCTCCAATTTACTGCTAATATTAATTTGTCTAATGTTTCGTATCAAACGAAAAATTTAACTGTACAATGAAAAACTTTTAACTTTTGAATATAATCTTTAAAACACGATTTCCATATTTCACACAATTAAACGCTTTATCACGAGGATGTTTGATATAAACGAGAAATAAGCGTTGCCATTTAAGAAATAAAAGATGTTACTGCATTTGCACGGGCTTATGCAAACCGATGAGATCTTTGGGAGAACTCTAGAGCTGATCAGTGCAATCCCGAAACCGAAGGTCGAGGCTTGCACCTGCTTGAAAGTTCTCTTTATATCTTTTATAAGATGACAACAATTCGAAGAAGATAAATTCAAAACAAACGCTTTAATTTTTCTAAAGTTCATGATCGATTTGTAAATTTTCTTTGACTGTTTTGATTGTTTTGATTGTTTTGATTGATTTGATTTGTTAAGCTCAGATCTATTTTACACTGGCTTATGCCAACACAGCTATAGACCAATTAATACACGCGTTTCATCGTGTTTACATTTAAGAATAAAAGATATTTATTGTGTTTGCACAAGCTTATGCAAGCCGAGGAGACCTTTGGGAGAACTCGAGAGCAGATCAGTGCAAGCCCGAGGCCGAATTTTTAGATTGAATTGATTGGTTGAGCTCAGATGTGCTTTGCACTGGCTAATGGAAACTCAGTTCTTGACAAATCAGCGCACGTGTTTCATTGTGTTTATTTTATAATTCATAATAAAAATCCTATGGTGAAAATGTCACTGTAATTAATTGAGCTTAATTACAACGCTTGATATCATGGATGTTTATATATCGAGATAAAAAATAACAGTTATTAACTAAGTGATAAAATTGGATAACAATCCCATCATAGTGTGTTAGAAGGAATGGAAGTCCGTGCAGTTGTAAACATACTTGCCAAAATATGCACCAACTAACACAACAAAGTATGTTCCCATGCTGGTGTTGAACTCCAAAAAGCTTCCCAATTTACCAAAATATTTTTCTGTTTCCAGACATTAAAGCGTTTTTTCACGAATTTTAGCTCCCCTTTTTTATTAGCTAAATTGAGAGAAGTGTATGGGGGATATTGCATTCTTTTCAGCTTAGCAATAAAATTGTCGTAACTAGGTTAGTTTCCTTTAACATTTCTTTGTTTTAAGTACGTTTTGTAAGTTCTTTGTTTGTTCAGTTAGTTCTTCTTTTTTGTTGCAACGCGTGAGAACTTGAAACGCAATGAAAGAGTGAGTACTGCTAATGACGTAAAGGAAAGCTCGACTTATGTAATTACCGATAGTATAAATAACATGTAAATAATGAACTCTAATAGATAGTGTAAAAATACACCAGTGATGTACTTGTGTAGCTTGTTTAGCTTGTAAAATAAAAGCTTCAAAACGAAGAGTGTTAGTGAACCAGCAGAGGAGTGGATTCCTCGACAAAGTGTTAGGTTTTGTGATGTAGCCACCTACCTTCTTTAATATATATTGATTTACACCAACAAATAGAGATATCACAGATAACTATTAGGATCACATTTAATGTTCAACGTCAATGTCTATGGTCTACGATCTAAAACTACTTCGTTAAACTAAGATATTACGTTTGGATATATTTGTTTCTTTACTATCACAATGAACGGAAAGCTATTAGGAACTATAAAGAATATTGTGATTATTACACATAATCTATCATTTACCCACATGTAACTATCATCATTCTACGAGCACTCCTCTGAAATCATATAGCCTGTTTTGTTGCTTGCTGGACATGTTTTTCTTATGTGATGATAAACACATCCAGGCAAAGGTCTGCTATTTTCCCACCCCATTAACCCACATAACCATTTAATTATTCATCAATATGCAACTGCTCTCATGTACCAACAATACAAGAAGACATTAAGCAAGTATTAAACATCTCATATGGAATTAAAATGTAGTTACACTCACTCGTTTATTGATTGTGAATTCTACAGCGATAGGCAGGTCTCTTAAGAACGGCCCAACAGTATCAAGAACTTAAAGTTGCACCATATGGCCAAAATTTTCATGCTGTGCAACACATTTGATTTTCTCAATGCTGCCATCATACAACATCTCATGCATAGCAGATCCCATTTCCTTGCAGCACCTATACTCTTGTGCCCCTTCTAGTAACTCTACATGGCAGCATTGACTATATACTACAGTAGAGCACAGCTGCGAGGCAAGTGCGCGAGAGTGTGCATATTGTAGGAGCTCTTTGTTTTCATTTCTTCCAGCCCAAAGCGCTTCGACATTTATCGAGATAAAATGAAACTGTCTGATAAAGAATTGCTGATGCTTCGAAATTTTTCCGCTACACGTAGGGTGGCACGCGAAGAATCCATACGTGCAGTATGAAGATCGTACTGGGTCATATTAGAAGTTTTGCATGGGGATTTTGAATGTTTCCATGTATGACATGAAAACTCGTGAGGAGAATAATAAGTCTAACATCTTTGTGGTAATTCTGATGATAATGAAAAACGTGATGGGTAAGACTATACAAGAGCTCGATCACAGAAGTTCAAGACATCGACATAATTATCATCGACACCGTCGAGAATTTCAGGGCGACAATCGTCACAGTTGAAAAAATTAATAATCACACAGACGGTCTTGACAATCAAATACATGCGGCAAAAGTTGTGGCGCGAAGAACACCACATTGACCCCGATTCTGAGTACGACTACCATCATTGGCAACAATAGAAACCTCGTCGTATTGAAAATCATTCAGAAACTGCAGCCAAACTAAGTCTCGTGAATCATTACAGAAAAGAATTTGTTGCTGTTCTTGATATAGAAATAAATGCATTAAAGGCCAACACGGAGGCCCTCACTAACTGAGCGTCGTATTCCAAAATATTTTGATGCCAGAGGTCAACATACACTGCTGCCCTTCTTGATGCAATTTTGTGCTCTTGCAAAGTAATTGTTAAGTTTAGTGCTGAGGAACACGATACGGACAGGAAAAAATTCTTAAAATTACTTACAAATAAAGACAATATCCTTATGATGTGCTTTGTTGCTAATTTCTTGTTTATCCTTAAAGTTTTTCAAAAGCAGCTCCAACGTAGCTCACTTACCATTGTTGATATTGAACCAGAAGCACAAACATTTCAGAAAGGCGTTTATAAGTTGCGCATAAGCCTTTTACTGGATGGTTGGGAGCAGGCATTCAAGGAAAATTTAATGAAGTAGAGAAAAAATTTTGCGGCATTGAATTTTGGGAGAAGAAAAACGCCTTCTTGAAATAAATAAATATGTTACTGATTACATTCAGTTATGCAATGAGAAGCAAATCCATTTTGTCAATAAAAGAGTTCATGGAAAAGAGGATAAAAATTGATAAAAATGCCTCAAAGTATTTTACCTCTTTATCACATTTACAGCAAATGAGGATGAAACAAGAGATGTTCATAATTTAATTGCACAAGACATTAGCTTTGCAAATTTGGCTATACAATTTCAAAATCAGCAAGATTGCAATGACATATCGAAAGATAATTCACATAAAATCATGCAAACCCTACTTAAAGGAGATGAGGAACAGTACTACACAAATTTGTCAGTCCCTCCTGCTTGAATGTTAGTAAGCTAGCCACATTCAAAATGTGAGAGAGTCATTTCACTCAACAACAAGTCTAAATCCACCTGCAGATCATTTTTGAAATACCAAACTGTAAGCGACTATTTATACACCCATATCAGTATGCCTCCACTGTCTGATTTTGATCAAAGACCAGCAATTTTAAAATGGACGGATGACAAGGAGCATAGAGAAAGAAATACTCAATAAGAAGCTAAGCAAAATTGGTTTCACACGGCCTTCCAATAAGAAAATAGTTTGAAAAGCAAGAAATCCCTCAGGAAATCAAGGGGAAGAAATAAAGCGTCCCCTTATAAATTTCTTATGTCGGCGAGTGTTGCAATTGTTGTAGAAGTTGAATCGGATTTAACTGCTACAACAGCTCCCGATTTGTGTGCGATCAAATTACAACAGTTGCAACGCCTGTTGCCATATGATTTTAATTATTGTAGACCTTTAATGCCAATAGAATTACAACAATTACAACTATATTGTATCTAGGCTTTAGTAGGAAGAGATCCCGGTATTAAATAACTTGCCTTTGGTTTTAGCTCATATGGCACGCCAAGGTGATACCTTGTTGCGAAGTACGACTTTTCAAAATGTTCCAAGGAAATAGCAGATGTACTGCTGGAAGAAAAATTCGGCCGATATTTTTGAACCAATTTTACCCATATTTTTCGTTGGTCTTCGTTCTTTGAAAACTTGTGCGTTGAGATTCCTTCAACGTCATATGTATTCGTGCAACTGCGAAAGCAGGGGGAACCCCAAACATAATATTTTCCTCTTTTTGCTCTTTTCGTTTTAGAAGATATGTTTTATGCTTAACATTAATTTTATGTGTACCAACACCAACTTAAACGCTACTATTTTGTATTTCTAATATTTATATACTTTAAAAACGGCACTTAACACGTAACGGAAAGGCGTAAAAGAAAGGAGATATCAATTCACTTCAAATTATCTTTCATGGGAAACTCCTCATGGGATCTCTCCTTTTACTGGAAAACGCTATACT